ATATATATATAAGATGTGATTTGAATCTGCATGTGCAGGTACGATGAGGTGCTATTGAGGTGTCTTAGGGATTTTCCAAAGGAATTCAGGGATATATGATCTTTCTGGGTAAAATACTATCTCATGTGTGGATTTAAGTTCTACGAGTTTTTGTGCACCAATCTTCGTACGACAATGAACACCTTTTTGAAAATTTTGGGGCTTTTGTTTTCTTTTCTTCTGCTGCACATGTGATGTCATCCATAAATTTTCCTACAATGGTATTAGAGTCAGGTTGTTCGTGCGAAAGATTAGTTTTGAATTGCGTGTGTTATGTTTTAGAAAATCTTTTGACTTCAAAATCATTGACGCAAAAATGAGAAAAGGCAGCAACTGCCCATCTACATGTGTGAAGCCACCTGTAGTGGCAATCGCAAGGGCGACAGTCGTAGGTAGGTGGCACAACGCCTGCAGGCGCAACAACTATTGCTGCACGTAGTTGCAGCCATATGCGGCCAACCACCCCGCAGGTAGAGCCGCCTGTGCGCAGGCGCTACGCTTGCGGTGCAAGCGACGACGCTCATGGGCGTTGCTTACAAGCACGCCACAATGCTTGCAAAAGAGGACGTCGCTCGTATGGGCGATGCCTGCGAGCACTACACCCGTGGGCATAGCACCAGCGGGGGCAAGGGTGCTCGTAGGCAGGAAAGGCAGGGTAGGGATTAGAGTTTTATAGGCAAAAGATAGTTTTGCCCCTAAGAATTTCAAAATTTTGAGTTCCGTCCTTTTTGTCAATATTACTAAAATACCTTTCATAATTCAAAAAATTTCCTACATGTCCCAAATTTCAAAAAATATTAGTTAATTAAAAAGATTAATTATTATTATTATTATATATATTATATAGTAGTCCTGCATGATGATAATATGTACATGTGATGTATGATGTGGACGGATGATCATGGACCATGTGATATGTGTACATGTGATTATTATTATTGGGGCCTGCGAGCCTCCAATTTTATTCTCATTTATTGTTGGGCCTACGTGCCTATGATTAAGTTGTAATCACACAAGGAGGCACAGTAGGAGCGTAAAGCGATAGTGGGACCCATGAGATCGAGACGAACGATCGTGATGCATGGAGATGCGTCGAGATACAGACGAAACCGATGAGGATGAGAAGGACGATCACAAGGCATGGAGATGTACTACTACACACATAGATCTTAATGTGAGTGATTAGGCCCACTTGCTCGGCCCTGATCATATTAGGCTGTGGTTCATGATAACCTAGTGTGATTGCTGGAGCCCCTATCTTATTGGATATCCAATAAGCTCTTGAATTATTGAATCCCTTGGATGAGATCCAATAAGAGCTAATAAAAGATTATTGGGTAGAGACCCATTAATCTAATAAGCTTAGGTAATTGGATGAAGATCTAATACCCAATAGGACATGATCCATTAGGGTTAATTAGGGTCTCTATAAATAGGAGGGAACTAAAGGCCCATAGGTTGGGGCTTCTTTATTGGCACCTCATATTCTCCCCTTCTCCTCCTCAAATAGCAGGCGTGAAGATTTAAGGAGCATTATTGCAGCCCTACTATGTGGATCACTACTAGAGAGGATGATGCTTGACCTCCTTCATCCTCTCCAACAGATCTATAGGGATTTAGGGATATACGATCTCTCTAGATAACACAACTATCTCACACGTGAGTTTTTGTGTTGCGGGTTTTACACACCAATCTTCGCACAATGATGAATACCTTTAAGGAAATTTAAGATTTTTGTTTTCTATTCTTTCGTTGCGCATGTGATGTTAGATTTTCCTACAATAGGGGCTACAAAGACACTCCTCAAATCGCTGCACAATCATCCTTTCTACGCACACCATGTGATCAAGAAGGTGTCAGCTCTTCTCATTATCCACATGCCCCAAACAAGGGTTATTGGCTGAAGAGGGGAGGGGGAGAGGAGAATAGAAGGTGACAACTAAAAGGGTCTCTATCAACTTAATCATAATGGATCCTGTCTCATTAGGTACTAGATCTCCATCTAACTACCCAAGCCTATTGGATTAGTGGATTTCTGACTAATAATCTCTCATTGGCTCTTATTGGATCTTATTCATCCAATAATTCAAGGGTTTTCTAAATATCTAATAAGATAGAGGCCTAATATCGAGCTGGCCATGAGTCATACCTTTCAGAACTCCTTCTGACTCAGTAAATTATTATTTTTATAACAATTCAATCGACTCATCAATTACGAACGTATTAGACCACTACGCCTAGTTCCTAGATGATACAGGGGAATCCAATCCATTGGATCTGTCTATCCTCAATTACCGTATATCTATAGTCTGTTATTCATCTAATATCCTAGAGATTGTATATCAGACATGGTGTTGTCAGGCCTATATGGTTTCTACTCAAGTCTCGCTCTAATCGGATTCTCCCGAAGAACTCATTCTCTCTCAATTTAAATAACCCTAGTAAGGGAT